ATCATGAGTATTGACCGACTAATTAGTGATGCAGTTATCTGGCCCTCAACTGACTAGTCAATAATTAGTTGAAACATTGGTAACACTGAAGAGAAGTTACAAACTTTGCCTTTAAATGACCATTGAACTGATACTGTGTGATCATATAGCAATCCACAGGCAGGATCCYGTGGCTCACAAGCGAGGATTTAAATTCCAATACCAGAATATTGGCATGGCAAAAACTGGAATTTTTGAAGTTTTCCAACAAAAACCTCAGCTAAGCTTGGTTGTTTTTTTCTTTGGAGTGTTTTCCTCTGACCAATTTATCATGTGCCTTCTCACCTGCAATTTCTCCTATTACCTCTCTACCTCATCTTTTTTAATTTGAAGGTCATGTGCATATGCTTTTCTTTGTGGATCATTTCATTGAACCTCATTATAAGAACCACATCCAAAAGAACATAAAACACAATTTAGGTGAAGGAAGAAACACAAGGCCATTGCAACTAGTTTGATGAGCATTGATAATGATATGATAATAATATTTTTAGTATGAAGAACAGAAAAATCAATGTATAAACTAGCATACCAACAAATACAGATCAGGAGCTAAACTTGCCTTCTAGACTCTACAAGAAGAGCACGCTCTTCAGGGCTCTTATCTGAAGTTATGTCAAGCTCGCTCGCAGTGTAGCTGTATCAAAAATGATTAAAAGCATAATCTTAGAAAAATATTTACATCTAAATCAAACAGAATAATTGTATCAAAATGATTAAAAGAATAATATTAGGGACAATATGCATCTAAACCAAACAGAACCATCGTATTTTCATCACCACCAAACATTAATCCACTAGATTAAAATGAATTGATTGATATTTCCAACCTATCATGTTTCAGAAACTATTTTTAACTTGACAGCTATRCTCATCTCTTGACATAAAACCATTATATTACACATAGATATTGTTCTGCATTCACTTGAGGGAGGGGAAATAGTTTCAACAATTACTTGGAAGGAAGTATTGCTTGGGGAATGAAAGGGGTGTATGCTGTTTCCCTCTCAGCTGCAAGCCGTTGTGCCTTCTGAAACTCTTTAAGAACTGCCTGGAAATCTTTTGCAAGCTTAGCATCAGCAATCTTCTTGCTTGCCTGCAATTTGAACATTTAAGCACAAGAACTCCATATTAAAAGAAGCATCCATCTACAAAAAATAACAATTCAATAGAAAGTTATTCAATATACAAGATTTTTAAAGGTTTTAAGGGACATAAGCACAAGGTTTTTCCAATATATAATGGCATATTTGGGATTGCCATTAGGGGAAAATGCATCTCAAATGTTATTTGGGATCCCATACTGGAGTAATAGATCAGAGACTGGCTACTTGGAAGACCAAATATTCATCTAAGGGGCAACCAAACAAAAGCTAACATTAATCTGGATTGTTCTCTCTTCTCTTCACATTTACTACTTGTCATTATTCCCATACCTGCAGCGGAGCTGGAAAATTGGAACAAAAATGTAAAACATTTTATGGAAGGGTTGGAAGGAAGACACAAGTAACCTTTTGGATGGGGGGACCAAATTCTTCTTTAAGTCCATTTGCTCTTTTTTTGTGTAGTCAGGCTTCCTAGTTAAGGAGATTTAGACTAGGCCTGTTTCCCCTAAAATTATTGTGTTTTGCTGGGAGGTGTTTTGTAGAAAAATAAATATTTTAGACCGCTTGTAGAAGAAAAGGCCTTTCATGTGTTGTCCCCCCTACTTGGTGTATACTTTGYAGGGCTAATGGTGAGGATTGTTCCCACTTACTTTTATCTATTCTTTGTTGTTGCTATTTGGAATGGGATCTTTGCGGTGTTTGGATGCAGGTGGAACCTAACTACAGAGGTAAGAAGCTTCCTAAATGTC